GAAGAAGATGCAGCGGTGAACTTGACATTACCAATGAAGTCGCTGAGTACCTAAAAACAAGAAGAGCTTCCAAGAAGACAATCAAGAAGTGCTTGAAAGATATCAATGCAGTTGAGCCTGTTGCCATTGAGAGCATGCTCAAGGATGTGCAAGCGTTGACTGCTGAAGTCTTGAACTCCTTGTTGTCTTACATCGGTGGATCACAGAAGAGTAGCTGGTCTTTCTTTAGCCAAAGATCTGAGAAGAAAGCAGCAACATCCTTTGATGCTGTTGATGCTCTTCTTGTGAAGAAAGTGAATGTTGATATGTCACAACTATTAAATTTAGAGTCAGAAATTCAAGAAATTGACGAAGTTTTGGAATCCTTGTTTAGGCATTTGGTGAAGACCAGATCAACTCTTCTCAATGTCCTTAGCAACTAGAATAGAAATTTCTCTGTACAAAATTTTTTGATACTGTGAATATACTATACATACAATTTTCTCTAATTATATTTGTGTTCTTCAAATTTATGCTTTCAATCATTTAAAAAGACTCTTGAAACCTGAAAAAACAGAGGGTAACAACAATATTTGACAGTTCAATGATGAGATACATGATATACTGAAGTTAATTACTAAATACTGTATGGTTAATTCTTGGTTATTAATACAAAATTGTAGGGTTTACAAAAAGTATCTTTGAAGGAATATTAATAAAAATGGATTAATGTTTTCAAAAAAAAAAAAAAAAAAGATTAATAAGTAATTTTTTTTCACTAAAAATAAAGAGATTATGATTGAACAATGGTTGATTACCAGAATGACTCCATGTGTACATACGCGTTGAATTGACTTATGAATTAATAGCTAATTAGCTGTTAATATTCGATGTGTCTGCTGGAGCTAATTAAGAATATATTATGGCAAAGGTTTCCATGAATGCATAATATAGCATGGTCTCCTGCAGTCAGGCACTCTCCTTTATTCTTGGTTCAACACACGAGTTAGCTCTTTCATTTTTTAATGTACGGGGTTGAGATTCCAATTGCTCGATAAATGGTGTGATTTTCTGCTCGTATGTAGCTGTTGCTTCGGATCATGATGCACTTACTGGGAGCAGGATATGACATTGTATGTTAGATCAAAATTTATGCTTTGTACTATCCTAGCTAGATCAATAATCTGAGCATATATATGTAGTTCGTGTTATACATAGCTGGCATAGCAATATTATCTTAAGCACTTGATTTTGAGCATATGATAAATTTAATTTGTACTAATGCTAATTTGGACTAAATGACATAGTTTATGAATTCATATTAATTACCAACTAAAATTAATTTCGAGCTATATGTGTTGTTGCTTTATTTGAGTATGTGACTAATGTGAGTATGGTGGAAGGTTACAATTCATTATATAAACAAAATCTCTCATATTATGGGATGAATTTTCTGCGTCACAAGTCTTAAGGGTGTGGGTAAATGCGTAAGAATTAAGTGAGTATACGAGGTGGTAGTGGTTAATGGCGGTTAAAGGTAGCCATGTGACTTCGTACCGATGTTTGGACTACATTTTGAGGATATACTAAATCTCCCAAATGTAGCTTTATATATCATTATGCCAATGGCCTAATGCATATAACACTACTACGAACAAGTTATACTTAGTTACCAGCATAAGAATGTTTTGTAAAAGGAATGAGAGTACTTAGATTACATCGTGTCCCATATCGTAGTTATTTTTTGTGATTTACAACTTTGTATACATATTTGTAACAATTAAAGGGGTAGCGATCTCAAAACTTATATTGTTTATCTTGACCATGTATGAATTGGAAAAATTAATGCATTGCCATCCGTAAAGGATGGACTAGTTTTTACCCCAATTTTATTTTTTGGACGGGCAGCACAATTTCTTAGAAATTATACTCCTTATATTCATTTTTATTAAAAAAAAATATTAAATGTAAAAAATTTAAGTCAGTAAAATTTGAAACCTTAGAAATAACATTGCCAAAAATAAAAACCAACCATTTTCTTATAAGTAAGTATATACATCATACATATATGTTGCACTTTGAGGTATTTCATCAGTTTTGCATTACTTGCACAGTTGCACTATTTTTCTCATTAGTCCGTCCCAATGCAACATAGTCGCAAAACTTTTATAAATGGCATAATTCTACTATAAATATATTTTAATTCGTCTTAAAATACTCTAACGGTTAGTTTAGGGCCTGTATTCACTAACTTTTTACTTATTAGAATTTATCAGAACTTAATAAATCTTAAAAAAAATTGTCAAAAAAATAATACAAACTTTGAACGGTCCGCCAAAAACAAGTCAATCTTTTGATTATTTCTAAATAATACAAACTTTGGGGGTGTCCGATTAAAACAAGTTATGACCTGTTGGTGACTTGTTTAACATGTTATATGAGACATGTGTCATCTTTTTATTGGTTAGACAATTTAATTTATTTTTCTTACATCTTTTTAATTAATTTATTGTTTTTAATATTGTAAAGATTTAAATAACATTAATTACTATTATATAAAAAAAAAGCACCCATTATTCTTAAACCTCCTAATTTTTTGTAAAACATAATAATAATTATTTTTTTTGAAGAAGAAAACATAATTATTATTAAGATTATTTAGTTATTTAAAATGAAAAAAAAACCACCCACGCACCACCACAACCTAGCCCAGCCACCACCTCCTCCCCCACTGCTAGTCGCCGCCCAGCCTTCCTACTAGGGTTGTACACAGTTTGGTCTGAACCGTAACCAAACTGGACCAAATCGTATTTTAGCAGTTTGGTTTGATTTACTGTTTGGTTTCGGATTTTTTGTAAATACGGTTTACGATTTGATTTGGGTTTTTAAAAATTATAAACCAAACCAAACCGTATTAACACTTGATTATTATTTTTATTGTAACTTTATAATACAATTTAATCTGTTTGTGCTTATTATTTAAATTTTATTATAAGTTAATGAAGTATTATTTGGCAATTTTTAGGAAAAAATGTCGTCTCATCATAAATCGCAAATCAAACCGTATTATGGTTTGATTTGGTTCGATTTCAATACTAATATGGTTTGGTTTGGTTTAAAATTTAATCAAACTGTATTTTACGGTTTGGTTTGGTTTGGACTCAAACCACACCAAACCAAACCGTGTTCACCCCTACTCCCTACATCCCCTTCGCCCTGGCCGACCGACCAGCCTAGCCCAGCTAGCCAGCCCCATCGCTTCCCTTGCCCTGATTCGACCTCTCTCCCCTTCCCTTGCCCCGATTCGACTCCCTTCCCCTTCCCCCTAACTGGAACGTCGAACCCCCCTCCCCTTCCTCCACCGTAAGTTGGCGCAACACAAACCCGAAACCCCCGTCCCAAACCCGATATCCCATAGCCCAAATTAAACCACCCCAAATTCGTTAGGGTTAGGTTTTGGGTTTGGGTTGGGGGTTTTGGGTTCGGTGAGGGAGAGAGGGAAAGGGTTGTGTGGGGTACCAAGGAAGGGAAAGGAAACGGGTGGGGCTGGTCGGCCGACCAGTGCGAGGGGGAGGTAGGTGGTTTGGTGGCGGCAGCCGGGATAGGGTGGTTGGGCTGTTGGAGGGGATGGGAAGGGTGGTGGTTGTTTTTAATAATAATAATAATAATGTTTAAATAAATTAATAATAGTAGTTAATTAATTATTTAACACAAAATTAATTAATTATTAGTTAGGATTTATTTAATATTTAATTACGATTTATATGAGAAATTACCATGCTGAAAGTTTTGATTAGAAGTAAGTTATAATGTTAAACAATTATATATAAAAAAAAGTTAAAAAAAAATTAAAAAAAAAAAGTTAACCGGTCATATAAGTTGTAGGTAAATTATCTTGTTTAAAGCAGACACCCCCCATACTTCGTGTTATTCAAAAATCGAAAGATTGACTTGTTTTTGGTGGACCGCTCAAAGTTTGTATTATTTTGACAATTTTTCCTAAATCTTATTAAAACTTATTTTTATTTTACAAAAGGCTTTTTTCTCTTCTTAAAAGAAAAGGAAGACAAAGGATATCATCAATAATATTTTAATAATTACTTTAGCTAGCCAATGTTACTCAAGTTATTTGAATGAAGACATTGATTGAATTTCAGATAATAATAATTATAATTGAACTCAAATTAAAACATACAAATTAAATTGCATTGTATTTGGAGGTTATCATTTTGTTACACAATTATTTAATCTTTCACAGGCTGAAATCTCAACTAAAAAATCAAACCATATCTTTACATTGACTTATCCTGGACATACAAATTCCATTCAGATACACACTTATAAGTTACGAAGTATATATGATGCAGCACATTCATTTCATTAGTTGAGAAACAAAATTTCACAATATTATTTAGCTGTTACATATATATATTTATTCCAATTTGTTGATAATAATGAAATAATTTCTTCCTACATAATAATATACCCAGGCCAGATAACAACAAGATTTTGTAAATAAAATCTCAATTTGGTACTGTATTATATATTAGACTATATGTACTAATTAAATTTCTCATATGATTAATATTTAAGTGGTTGAAAAATTGTCGCGCCAGCAAATAATCACATGAACAATACTCAGATTATCGATTAAGGATTGTATATAATGATATAACATACAATGTCATATCCTGCTTCCCGTATTTTCATGGCGATCCTAAGCAACAGCTACGCACAAGTGTAAATGACACTGTTAGATTATGTAAATAATCTATTTATGTATTTATTGTTTTGTAATTATCTTTGATAATTATCTTATGTATAGTTTCCTAGTTAGTTTAACCTAGAATACTCTTAAGTATCCATTGGTTAATCGTTCATGAGAAAGGCACGGCAAATATTCTCATATTCTCTCATGGTATCACGAGTCTAGATTTTTCGATCCGAAACCCTAATTCTCTTCCGCTCATCTTCTCTATTCTTCTCCTTCCTCTCTTCTTCTCTATTTTCGGTTATCATCAATGGCCGAACAAAAGATTCACCTAGCCACCCTTGTCACGAACATCAAGACTTGCATTTCTATTGTTCTTGATTACGATGGCACTCAATACAACACTTGGTCTACTTTATTCCAACTCCATTGCCGCACGAATTTAGTAATCGACCATATCATACCACCAGTTGTAAATGAGAAGGAAAAGGCTCCTGAAACTTCTGACAAAGCTCTACGGCAACGACTTGATGACATTGTTCGTCAATGGATTTACAATACTATTTCCAATGACCTTCTTAATTCCATTATCGATCCCGATGACAAGGCTATCGATGCTTGGAAACGTTTGCAGAATTTTTTCCTCAACAACAAGTCGGCCCAAGCATCGCATTACATCTTGATGCGCAATTCACTAACACCAAGCTTGTTCAATTTTGATGGTGTTAAACCGTATTGCACTCGCCTTAAAACCCTTGCAGATAGTCTGAGAAACGTTGGTGACAAAGTGTCTGATAATCGAATGGCATTGCAATTATTGAAGGGACTAACGGAAGAATACAAGCCCTTCCGTACCTCTGTTCGTCATCTCAATCCGCTTCCCACCTTTGACACCTTGCGCTCTATGCTTGAATTGGAGGAGCAGGGTAATGCTTCCGATATTCCAGAATCCGGCGAGGAGGCTCTTCTCTCACAGTCATCCTCATTCGCATTGTTTAATTCGCAGCAGGGCAAAGGGTTTTCGATTCTTCTCGTGGAAATTCACAGCTTGCTCGCGGTGGTTGGAAACCTAAGAGCAAAGGTGGCAAAAAAGGGCGGCGTTGGGTCTGGTGGTCGGAGCAACCAGGCGCTGTAGCAGCAGACCTCGGCGCAACAGCACTCGGGTCAGCAGGGGTGGATGTATCCCCCCTGGGCATACTGGAATCAGCCACCATGGGCCACCACTAGAAGAAAACAACTTGATTTCGACGGAAAAAATCCGTCGGAAACATCGGAAATTCCGTCGGAAAATGGTCTTCCGACAGAATTCCGTCGGAATAAGTCTATCGCAAAACCCTATGTAGGAAATTCGACCTTTTCCGACGGAATTTCTGTCGGAAGCCTAGTTTCCGACGGATTTATTTCTGTCGGCGCTTTTTTAACTTTAATTGAAATTCCGTCGCAATTTCCCGACGGAAATTTCCGTCGGAGTTGGAAAGGTTTCCGACTGAAATTTCCATCGGAAGAGGTATATTCCGACGGAAATTTCTGTTGGAAAAGGTATATCCCAACGGAAATTTCCGTTGGCAAAGTCAATAAAAAAAACAACTAGCACCACCCCCGCCACCAGCCCACACCACCCACCACCACCACGTCCAACCCCTTTTCCTACACCACCCACCACCACCATGTCTAACCCCTTTTCCCACACCACCCACCACTACCACATCCAACCGAAAAACCCACCCACCACCCTAACCCGTATCCCCTCCCCACCACCCTAACCCGTATCCTCCCCCAACCACCCAAATACCACCACCGAAACCACCACCCACCCCGTCAGATCTACAAACCACCACCACCTACCTAACCCCCAACGACCCACCCCACCCAACCCAGACCACCCACTGTAACCACCATTCCACCAATCTATTTTTCATAATACAATTCGGAACCAAAAAAAAAAAAAAACGAAAAATATTGAAACAAAATACAGATTAGAATACAAATCGGAACAAAACAAAAATATTGAAAAAAATACCTGATCTATGCAACTTAATTTAAAAAACAGAATACAAATAGAATAAACGAAAAATATAAAACGAAATTGGGCGATAACAGATCTGCAAACGCTGGATGAACGAAGTGGTGTGTGTCGAATTTCAATTATTTTTGGTACAGTTTGCTCGAATTTGCTGGAGAATTGGGTTGCGAAATTCCTCAAAAATTTTCATTGAATATTCTGTGGTTCATTGCTTGAATATGGGGGGATTTTTGCTTGATTATATTGGTTTGTTCTTTGCTCAGATTTCTTAGGGATTTTGGTTCGTATTTTTGCTCGAAAATGAGGGGATTTGGCTCGAATGTTGTTGTGGCCGTTGATAGGCTTGCAAGAGGAGAAGAGAGAGAAAATGAGAGGCGGTGGTGAGAGAAGAGGGGATAGAAGAGGAAAGAGAAGATGAAAGAGAAGAAGAGGAAATAAAAGAGGAGAGAGGAGAAGCAGATTCTTAAGAGAAGGAGAGAGAAAGAGAAAGAGAAAAGAAAAAGAGGAGGAATCCTATGGCTGAGAATCCTATGTGATGATAACATGTTCCAACAGAAATTAATTCCGTCAGAAGATATTTTCCGAGGGAAAATTCCGTCGGAAGCTTGTAATTCTGACAGAATTAACTTCTGTCGGAAACATTCCGAGGGAATATTCCGTCGGAAGTTATTTATTCCGACAGAATTAATTTTCGTCGGAATATTTTCGAGGGGAATTCCGTCGGAAATGGTATTTTCCGACGGAGTATTCTAAGGGATCAAATTTCATCGGAAATTTGAAATTTTCTGACGGAATTTAAGTTCTGTCGGAACGATTCCGTCGGAAAACAACCTATTTCTAGTAGTGCACTCCACCTTACCCATACCCTTCACAAGGCCAAGGCCCAATGCAGTGGGGTGGACGACCCTAACAGCAACAACAGCAGCCCGGTCTTCTAGGTGCTCGACCACAGCAAGCCTATTCCATGTCTTGCCCACCTCCTTCTTCCTCAGGATTTGTACCAACCAACATCGAACAAGCTATGCAATACGATGTCTCTTGCCGACCCGAATTATTACATGGATATCGGAGCTACATCTCATATGACGAACTCTCAAGGTAACTTGTCGTCGTATTTTCATTTGAGCAAAAATAATAATAATGCTATTATTGTTGGTGATGGTAGAAAATTTCCAATTCACGGTTATGGTCACAAATCCTTAAACCAAAACACACTTCAACTCAAAAATGTTCTTCATGTACCTAAACTTGTCAAAAATCTAATTTCCGTTAGAAAATTCACTATTGATAATCATGTGTCAATTGAATTTGATCCTTTAATTTTGGGTTTTCTGTGAAGGACTTGCAGACAGGGAGCAAAATAGTGAGATGTAATAGCAGTGGCAATCTTTATCCCTTCTTCACAGATCGTCAAGTCATTTTCATTTCCATTCCGTCAGCTTTGCAGTTGTTTCTCCTAGTGTGTGACATTCCCGTTTAGGTCATCCGGTAAATGCAATTCTTAGTTCTTTGCATAGTAGTCATCTCATCAGTTGTAATAAGGCTCCTAAACATGTTTGTCATTCTTGTCCTTTGGGAAAATTAATGAAATTGCCTTTTTATGATTCAATGTCTCATACTACTATACCTTTCGATATTGTTCACAGTGATTTATGGACCTCTCCAATTGTTAGCTCTCTTGGTCACAAATATTATGTTCTTTTTCTTGACAATTACACGAATTTTCTATGGACTTTTCCTATCTCTTCCAAGTCTCAAGTTTATAGCTTACTTATTCGTGTTCGAACATATATTAAGAGTCAATTCGAGAGGGAAGTTAAAGCCTTCCAATGCGGTAATGGAACGAAATTTACCAAACCTCCATTTCAAAATTTTTGTGAACAAAATGGCAGGACTTTTCGCTTCTCTTGTCCATGTACCTCTCCTCAAAATGGCAAGGCCGAAAGAAAGATTAAAACAATCAACACATTGTTCGAACTCTTCTTTGTCATGCACCAATGCCGCCTTCGTTTTGGCATCATGCTCTTGAAATGGCTACATACCTTCATAATATCTTAACAACAAAAATTCTAGACTATAATTCCCCTACTCAAATACTTTATCAAAAGCATCCTAACTATTCTCATCTTAGGGTGTTTGGTTGTCTATGCTATCCTCTTTTTTCGTCCTCCAAAATTCACAAACTTCAAGCTCGAAGTAGTCCTTGTGTTTTTCTAGGATATCCATCTAATCATCGAGGATATAAGTGCTTTGATATGTCAAGTCGGAAAATTATTATAGCTAAACATGTATGGTTTGATGAGTCGGTATTTTCCTTTTCTAAAATTCACAACCCCGAGCCTCATACTTATGATTTTTTGGGTAGTGAATCGAGTCTTCTTTATAACCCCGTAGTGTGGCAGCATCTTCTTCCTTCACCCTTGCAACGTGCACCTACCACACCCGGCGCAAGCCCAGCCAATGCTGGTGCGGGGAGGGTAGTGCACACTGCCAGCCCAGCTCCACAACCTGGCATGCCAGGCATCGCCACACAGCACACTCCGCAACCAGGTTGCAGTACATCACCTACTGCCGCAACCCAGTTGCAAAGTAATCTTCCTAGCTTCCCACAGCAGCAACATTTCCCTCGCTGCTCTCCTCCTGTGCTTGACTCGTCCCTCACTGCTCAGCAGCGTGGCCTTAGGCCACCTCCTGCTACCCCCGCCAGGTTACAAGTGGGCGGTGGTGTGGATGACCTTGCGTACAATGAAGCCGAGCAGTCTCTCTCTCCCACTCCTCATCACTCACCACATCCCTCTTTACCACAACCTCATCCCATGACCACCCATAGCAAACATGGGATTGTCAAGCCAAATCCAAAGTACTCCGACCAAGCGCACCAAAATTCTACCTCCATATCACCTATTCCCAAGAACTCGGTCCATGCTCTTCGTGACCATAATTGGAAATTTGCTAAGCAGGAAGAATATGATGCTCTTATTGATAATGGTACTTAGGACTTAGTTCCACGTCCGGCTTATGTGATTATTATTCGTTTGTTGTGGATTTTTTGGCATAATACGATATCTGATGGCTCTTTTGAGAGACATAAAGCTCGTTTGGTTGGTGATGGTAAAACACAAAGGGAGGGCATTGATTATGAGGAAACTTTCAGTCCGGTTGTAAAACCGACAACTATTCGGGTGGTTCTTAGCCATGCCTTGTCTAAGTCTTGGCCTATTCATCAATTGGATGTAAAGAATGCTTTCTTACATGGTAACTTGAATGAAACTGTTTACATGTATCAACCTTTGGGGTTCAAAGATTCGGCTCGTCCTGATCATGTGTGTTTTCTCCGAAAGTCCTTATATGGTCTGAAACAGGCACCCCGGGCTTGGTATCAGCGTTTTACAGATTTGGTGGCTACTATTGGATTTGTTCACAGAAAATCTGATAATTCCTTGTTCATCCTTCGCCATGGTAATGCTACTGCTTACATTCTTCTCTATGTTGATGATATTGTTCTTACAGGTTCTTCGGAGTCTCTTTGTCGTCATATCATCTAACAGCTTAGCTCTGAATTTGCTATGAAAGACTTGGGCAATTTAAGCTATTTTTTGGGTATTACCGTATCCCGGGATAAAACGGTTTATTTTTGTCTCAAAAGACATATGCTCAGGAAATTATTGAAAAAGCAGGCATGGCTATTTGCAAACCATCCACTACTCCGATTGATTCCAAAGGGAAGTTAAGCACTCTTTCTGGCGCTCTATATGATGATCCTACTTCCTATCGCCGTCTTTGTGGTGCTTTGCAATATTTGACATTTACTCGCCCAGATATATCGTATGCGGTACAACAAGTTTGCCTGTTTATGCACCCCCTCGTGTTGAACACATGAATGCGTTGAAACGTATCCTTCGATACATCCAAGGTATGACTGATTTTGGTTTGCATTTGTATAATTCATCCGTTTCTTCTCTTCTTTCTTATACAGATGCCGATTGGGGCGGGTGTCCGGACACTCGTCAGTGTACATCAGGGTACTGTGTATTCCTTGGTGATAACTTGATTTCTTGGTCCTCCAAACGTCAACCTACTCTATCTAAGTCAAGTGCCGAGGCAGAATACAGAGGGGTTGCCAATGTTGTTTCTAAATCCTGCTGGGTTCGAAATTTGTTGCTTGAGCTTTGACGTCCTATTTCGAAAGCAACACTTGTTTATTGCGACAATGTTAGTGCCATTTATCTTTCTAGTAATCCGGTCCAACATCAGCGCACTAAACATATTGAGATGGAAATTCACTTTGTCCGTGAGAAAGTGCAAAGGGGCGAAGTTCAATTCGTGTCCTACATGTGCCTTCCTGATACTAGATTGTAGATATCTTCACTAAAGGTCTGCCTAAGGTTTTATTTGATGATTTTCGGGACAACCTCAGCGTTCGTCCACCTACCGTTTCGACAGCGGGGGTGTGTTAGATTATGTAAATAATCTATTTATGTATTTGTTGTTTTGTAATTATCTTTGGTAATTATCTTATGTATAGTTTCCTAGTTAGTTTAACCTAGAATACTCTTGTAATATATTGGTTAGTCGTTAATGAGAAAGGCACGGAAAATATTCTCATATTCTCTCAGACACCATATCATAAAAATTTCAACTCGTCTATCCTTTATAAAAATAATGAAAGAACTCGTGAGCATGAACCAAGAATAAAGGAGAGTGCCTGATTGCAGGAGACCATGCTATATTATGCATTCATGCATCCCTTACTATAATATATTATGAAGCCTCTTGCAGACACATCGAATATTAACAGCTAATTAGCTATTAATTCACGGGTTGATTCCACACGTATCTTCAAATGGAGTCATTGATGATCAACCTTCATTTAAATTATAATCTCTTTTCTTGAAAAATAATTCTATTAATTATTTTTTTTATACATATATTTTTCTTAGGAGAAACTTTTTTTACCTTAGAATTTCATATTTGAATCAGAAAGTTACAGTATCTAATGAATAATAATTCACTTCAGTAAATCATGAATTTCGTACTGTTAGATTATTTTTGTCCATCGAATATTCAGGTTTCAAGAATCGAGCACTCTGTAACATTTTTTTTTTTTGACAGATCTGTAACATTGTTATGATTGAAAGAATGGTTGAAACTTGAAAGTATAAACTTGAACACAAATAAAATTAGGGAGAATAGTATGTATAGTATATTCATTTGTATAGTATATTCAAGAATCAAAATTTTTTGTACAAGGATGAATTTCTATTCTAGTTACTAAGGACATTGAGAAGAGTTGATCTAGTCTTCATCAAATGCCTAAACAATGATTCCAAAACTTCGTCAATTTCTTGAATTTCTGACTCTAAATTTACTAGTTGCGACATATCAACATTCACTTTCTTCACAAGAAGAGCATCAACAGCATCAAAGGATGTTGCTGCTTTCTTCTCAGATCTTTGGCTAAAGAAAGACCAGCTACTCTTCTGTGATCCACCGATGTAAGACAACAAGGAGTTAAAGACTTCAGCAGTCAGCGCTTGCACATCCTTGAGCATGCTCTCAATGGCAACGGGCTCAACTGCATTGATATCTTTTACGCACTTCTTGATAGTCTTCTTGGAAGCTCTTCTGGTTTTTAGATATTCAGCGACTTCACTGGTAATGTCAAGTTCACCGTTGCACTTTCTTCGAAAAGCTGATTGAATGTTTTGGATTTGTTCCTTTGACACTGCCAAGATATCTCGAGATGTTGAGCAAATGTCAATGAGTCTTAGAGATCCATCTAATACTTGTTGAGATTGAGATACGTTTTTCTGATTTTTGGGCAATTGAAGAAAATCTTCAACAGATTTGTATAAATCATTAAGGCCGCTAAGTTTGCTGGTAAGGGATGAAGTAGAAGCAGCTTAAGATGATCTCAATCTGTTCAATTGTTGATCCAACTGCTCAGAAACGGGGTGAGAGTTTGAGGGGAAACTGAAAGATCGAGTATGGATAGAAGCCATTTTGATATTGTTTTAAAGTTTGTTAAAAGACTTAAGAGTTGTAAGGTAGAAGTTTTGAATTGTTGAATCTCTCATTCTTTTGGCTCTATTTATACCAAAGTAGTAGAAGACAGAAGGAATAAAAAAAAATGAGACAGTGTGAGAGAACATGGTATTCCTTGGGGTTGTTTCACATTGTCTCTTGTCAGCAAACTAGCCAACTCACGAATCAATTGATGATGAATTTTTCTGTTGATATAATTTACTTCATATCAATTAATAAAATGAAATGAAGGATTTTTTGTTATACAACAACCAGTACAAAACCTGCAAAGTGATGTCTTATTTTAATCCAGCATCTTTTAGTTTGTTCTGTGTCTTCTAACACCCAATTAAACACCTAATGTGATTTCAGTACCAGCATGTTTCAGTCAAATCATGTGGTGATCAAGTATAGAATTCCACAAAATGAGGTATCATGATCCTATAAAGGCGCTAAACACGAGTAGGAAGGAAGAGTACTTACCTCTCATTTGCTGCAATGCAAACTCCATATAAAACCCGTCCGTGTTCCCTGCTCTTTTGCTGCAATGCAAACTCCATCACCCGTTTGTGTTCCCTGCTCATTTGCTGCAGTGCAAGTTCCATCACCTGTTCGTGTTCCTTGCTCAATCGCTGCAATGCAAACTTAATGATCCCCTCTTCAAAGCCCCCGATTTGAGAGGCAGATATAGCTCTAAAGTTACATCAAGAAGTCTCCTATCATGCAGACCAGAACATCAGAGCATTTCAAGAAGCAATCTTTCTTTCAGGCATTTCATCAAACATCTTATAGACATTCCCAAACTCGGGGACAATGCAACACCTATTCAAATTTCCCTTAACCATGGCAAAGAATGGTATCAAAGGGAATATATTTATAAGAAATCCAGGAATTTGCAATACACGGAACATGAGGAGGAAACGGTATAATATAAGCAATTTGAGGAGTTAGGATTTTGGGTATGGATTCAATTTATGGCATTGAAACAATATGTTATTGTGTTATTGATGTATTTGAAGATAAGGGTGGCGCCATTGGAGTGGTAGTAATTAATTGACGAGGTAAAGCGGTTTGGATGGAGGTTATAAAGCAAATTAGAAAGGAAAACTATGATATGGTTTTACTCTACTATGGTATGGTCTTACTCTACTATTTCGCCGTGTCTAACTAGAGGTGTCAAAATCAAACCGACTCGAAAAAAACCATCCGTTTCGAATTGTAATCGATCCGATTTGATCTGAGAAATTCAAGACTCAAACTCGATCTGTAACCAAACTGAACTCAATCCAAATCTAAATTTGTCCCGATTTGAACTTAACCCGACACCGATTTGACCCATCTTGAACTTAACCCGATACCGATTTGACCCAACTTGAACTCAACCCAAAAATCGATTTGACTCAACTTGAACTCAAATCGAACTGGTTTGACCCAACTTGAACACAATCCGAACTGAAATTGACTCGAAAAATACCCGATTGAATCCGATCGGTTTTTCACCCAAACTGATATTAACCTGACCTGATTTTAATCCGACATAATTTTGAATTGACATGATTTCAAACCAACCATAATTTTAAACTCAACCTATTATTTACCTTTTTTTTTTACTTAAACATATATTAATGACACGATATGAAAAGATGACACATAATTGACTTGATATTGGCCCAATAACAAGATAAAAAAAAAACCTTATCATTACTCCAATTTTAAAAATGTACTTATTTGAATATTAAATTTGGTCAATCCAACCAAAATTCAACAAACACGAAAAGTATCTGAATTAGAATTGATCGTATATTGAATCAACCTAAGTAATCAAACTGAACTTAACATAACCGAAATCAACCAAACTGGAACCAACTCGATCCAAAGTCATCCGACCCAAAATTAACCCAGTCAAACCTAACCCGATCCGAATTTATGCAAACCGAATATGAACCGATCTAAAGTTGAGCTGACCCAAACCCGATCTGGACCCTACATATCTTGACTCGAATTAGATCCGACTTGAATGTGACCCGATCCAACCCGAGGTGGATTAACAAGGTAATTTTGAATCGAATATACCTGACCCAAACAAACGCAACTCGTCATGAATTAACCTAAACTTCATCTGATTATCCGAATTGACACATCTATATCTAACTCTCTTTAAGATGCCTAAAGGCTACAAGCATCTCGTTCCGTCGGACAATTAATTAAAGCTAGCGGATAAGCGTGCCAGGGTAATTAGGTATGGATGGAACTTTGAACGGAATCTATTATCTGGTGATTGGTGGTAATACTGGTAAATGCAAAATATTTGAAAGGGTATGGTCGTATAATACAAAGAAAAAAAAACACAAAAAAAATCTAAAAGAGTATACAGTCAATATGGCAAAACTAAGGGTGGTAAATGTCAAATCATTATGATAGGAATTTGCCAATTTGGCTAAGAGTGTTTGGAAAGAAATTACAAGGTGTTGGTTAATGCTTGCAATAACGATATGTGGTTGCACAAGATCAATTGTATCTTTGGGAGAAAGTCTAACTCGCCGTATGTAGCAAGGGTGAATGGCTTGTTGAGTGGGATAAAATTGTATGATCACTGTGTGACAGCCGGATACATTTTTATTCATTAATTCATATATATTTGGTTCATTGGTTGCTAATTTTCTCGAGCCAGACCCTAACCGGACTTTCTACCCGGTCGGCCTCTGGGCACAATGCAAAGGATAGTGATTTTGATGGATTTGTAGACTTAAAATAAATCAAGTGTTTCTACTCATTCTTAAAAACACGTATGATCTAAATGACATGAACAAATTTCAATTTTTTTATTTTTTTGTAGCCGAACAAATTTCATATACTATTAAGTGTGTGAAACATCATTATTGGTGATTTTAATCTAATGATTTAATTTCACGATTGACAATGAACTTCAGAAAATAATTGGACTCAGTTAAGAACATACAAGTTGCATAGTAGCTAGAGAGGAGCTAAATTAAATTGGAGGAGATACTAATCTTTTACAGGCTGACACCTCAACTAACAAATAAAACCATATCTTTTCATGAATTTATCCTGGATAAATTCCACCCAAATTCATCCTTATAAATTATGATAGGAAATTTATTCCATAATCTCAGAAATTAAAAAAATCCATATCATCTGTTACATGTACGCCATTTTTATTTAATTAATAAAAATAATGAATAATGATCTTCCACCATAGGCTTAATAGCATACCCAGATTAAACAACAAGATATTGGAAATAACACGAGTGATGCTCGGATTATTGATTTTGTATTACATATTATGATCTAACTCGATCACAAATTCACAATGTCATATCCTGCTCCCTGTACGTCCATCACGATCCTAGGCAACAGCTATACACGAGTGGAAATGACACAATGTATCAATAGTTTAGCTAAAATATCAATAAATTGTTTGCAATTTGCATGTTTTCTTAATGAAGATTGAATAAAATTTGAGGAATATATATAGAAATCTCAACTCTTCTACCTTTTAAAAAAAATCCAAGAATAAAGGCAACTGTCTGATTGTAGGAGACCTTGTAATGGCTGCATTAATGCATGCCCTTAATACAATATATTCTGAAGCTCCTGCAGACACATGGGTTTACGAGTCGATTCAAAGCTTATCTTCACATGGAGTCATTATTGTGATAATCAACCTTCATTAATCACAATCTCTTTGAGCGGAATATAATTGAATCTATTATTCAATTTTTATTAATATATTGCATAATAGAAACTACTTTTTACCCCATAATTTTGTTTAGAAGCAGGTAATTTAATTACTTGCCTTACCCAATAATAAGCTTCACTAAGTCATGAATTTTATTTATTTATTTAAATTTTATTTTTTTTGAGGAAAAGTCATGAATTTATTACTGTAAGATTTTTTTTTACCCTTTGACTTTTCAGGTTCAAGAGTCCAGTAACTTTGGCATGATTGAAAGAATAATTGAAATTAAAGCATAAACTTGAAGAACACAGATAAAATTAGAGATAATTGTATGTATAGTATATTCATTTGTATGTATGTTCACGTATCAAAAAATTTTGTACAAGGATGAATTTCTATTCTAATTGCTAAGGACATTGAGAAGAGTTGATCTGGTCTTCACCAAATGCCTAAACAAGGATTCCAAAACTTCGTCGATTTCTTGAATTTCTGATTCTAAATTTACTAGTTGTGACATATCAACATTCACTTTCTTCACAAGAAGAGCATCCACAGCATCAAAGGATGTTGCTGCTTTCTTCTCAGATCTTTGGCTAAAGAAAGACCAGCTACTCTTCTGTGATCCACCGATGTAAGACAACAAGGAGTTCAAGACTTCAGCAGTCAACGCTTGCACATCCTTGAGCATGCTCTCGATGGCAACGGGCTCAACTGCATTGATATCTTTTACGCACTTCTTGATAGTCTTCTTGGAAGCTCTTCTGGTTTTTAGATATTCAGCGACTTCACTGGTAATGTCAAGTTCACCGTTGCACTTTCTTCGAAAAGCTGATTGAATGTTTTGGATTTGTTCCTTTGACACTGCCAAGATATCTCGAGATGTTGAGCAAATGTCAATGAGTCTTAGAGATCCATCTAATACTTGTTGAGATTGAGATACGTTTTTCTGATTTTTGGGCAATTGAAGAAAATCTTCAACAGATTTGTATAAATCATTAAGGCCGCTAAGTTTGCTGGTAAGGGATGAAGTAGAAGCAGCTTGAGAAGATCTCAACCTGTTCAATTGTTGATCCAACTGCTCAGAAACGGGGTGAGAGTTTGAGGGGAAACTGAAAGATCGAGTATGGATAGAAGCCATTTTGATTTTCTTTTTAGTTTGTAAGGAGGCTTAGAGTTGTAAGATAGATGTTTGATTTGTTGAATATTTCATTTGTTTTGGCTCTATTTATATCAAAGTAAGAGAAGACAAAAGGAATCAAAAATTAAATTAGACTCAGAGAGAACATGGACTTCCTTGGGCTTATTTAACATTGTCTCTTCATAGCAAACTAGCCAACTCACGAATCGATCGTTAATATTATACACAAGTAGCTGATATTAATTAAAGAAATGAATTTCAGGATGTTTTGTTATACAACAACCATGACAAAAACTGCAAGATGGTTTGCTATTTTAATCAAGCGCCTTTGAGCTGTTTCCATGATGTCTTTAACCTCTCAAGTCTCAACCAATGTGTTTTGTACATCACCAAGTTTCAGTGTAACTCATGTGGTGATCAACTATTATATTCAGCGACAAAATGTCGTATCATGTATGCTATAGACAAGTGGGAACGACGAGTACTTATTTCTTATTCCTTGCAATGCAAACTCCATAAATAACCCGTCAATATCATCATACGGAAGATAATCGTTAAAAAACAATACTTCGTATATAATTGTAATGAAAATTTTCAAAAATAAAAAACTAGGCCACCCTTAACGGATGGCTATCCATTAGTTTATACAGATAAACATGACTTTGAAATATAATGGCTACCCAACTATTGTAGTTGGGTGATCAATACAATTGACAACTTCAATTATAATGTTGTTACTGTTTAAGTACACCATCGATATAGGACATATTTTGCAAATTCAAGTTTTGCACAAGAATGAAATTACCTTAATCAACCATCGCAATTAGCTAGTGTTGTTGTTGTACAAAACTTGTACAGTTGTGCTCTTGTGCACTTGTGCTCCCTTTGAATTAAGAAGAATACTTTACCCCGATCGTTTCGTCAGAAAATTAGCCGACCTTGTGATATAGAAAAACTCTTACATATCCGGGTTTATGTAAGTTTCATAGGACAACCTAAGATAATTTTTTACTTTTTTTTTTATTGAGAAATTTAATATATATATATTATTATTATATAAATAAAGTAGGCAATTTTTAGAGCATTCGGAGTGTTACGTAAGAAATATATTTATTTCAACCCATAAGAAGAAAGATTTGTATTTTTTTTTTTGGCCAAATTAGAAAATAACCCCCAATAAAAACCCCGATTTTGATAATAACACCTGTAAAAAAAAAAGTTTTATTATAACACCACCAAAAATCCCAAAATTTTGGTTTCACCACCTAGTAACGGATTTTTGGATGGAAACCGTTAGTAGAGCCCACTAGGAACACGTGTCAGATGTTTATTGGTTTAAAAAAAATACAAAAAAAAGAGAAAAACCCCTAAACCCTAACCCAGCCACCTGCGGCCGTGACTCCACCCCAGAGACCCCCAGTGCCGTCGGAACCCTTTCCTTCACCGGCGAAATCACTGGCCATTAACCCCACCCACCACAGCCCCTCCTTTACCGCCGAAATCACGATCCCTACACCGACGAAAAGGAAAATTCGCCACCACCACCTCTTTTCCCAATCTCCGTCGAAACCACACCAGCCACCAACAATCCTTTTCGATGGTTTAAGGTTCGTGGTTTCGCGTTGCCGACAAGGGGTGAGGTCGCAACTGGATCTGGCAGGGCTGTGGGTGGAATTGGGCGCCGGCTAGTGGGTTGGGGCTGGTGATGGGGCTTGGATTTCGGCGCTTCGACAGTTGCTGTGGTGATGGGGCGATGGTGGTGGTGACGTTGCGCTAGTGAAGGAAGGTGTTCCGGCGGCAGTGGGGGTCTCCGGCGGTGGAGTGATTGCCGTCGGTGGTGGGGCTGGTGGCTGGGTTAGGGTTTAGGGGTGTTTTTTTTTTCTTCTAATTTTACTCTTTTTTTTAAGCCAATACTTATTGACACGTGTCCCTAGTGGGCCCCACTAATGGTTTCCATCCAAAAATCCGTTAGTGGGTGGTGAAACCAAAATTTTGGGATTTTTGGTGGTGTTATAATAAAACTTTTTTTTTTTAAGGTGTTATCATCAAAATCGGGGTTTTTTTATTGGGTGTTATTTTCTAATTTGGACTTTTATTTTTGAATTAAAAAATTATGTCTCTACCTAGATAAAATTAACGAATTAAATTTGATATATCTAAAATTTTAATGCCACGTAGATTATAATCCACGAATTAAAAAATGAAAAAATATAAATTAAAAATATAGGAAAAGAAAAATTTATTAATTCAATACTACGAGTATAAGAAATCCAAAAAAAATATACTAAGAAATATTTAAATGATAAACGCTTATAATAAAGTTTGATACCTATCATTATAAGATAATTTTGATAGTTTTATGATAAGAAATACAACTTGTAAAATTTGTGATACCTACCATTATAAATTGACACATCATACGACACAAACAAAATTTCGTATCAATAAAAAACCCCATCAAGCGAATTTTGTGTTAATCATTTTGTGTTAATTTTTGGTCATCAATGCCGGGTAATTTTTAGCTTAATTTTTAAAATCCTAGGTTTAAATTAGTATTTCTAATTATTACTTACATTGTATTAATTTGGGATACTCAACAATTATATGTTTATGTTTTATTACTAAATGTTTTTTTTACATGCAGATCTAACACATCATACGACACAAATAAAATTACATATCAATACAAAACTCAATCAAGCGATTTTTGTGTTAGTAATTGTGTTAGTTTTAGGTCATCAATGTCCGGGTAATTTTTTAAAATCTTATGTTTAAATTTATATTTGTAATTATTAGTTACATTGTATTTATTTAGGATACTTAACGATTATTTGTTTATGTCGCCACCTAGATAAAAGTAACGAATTAGATTTGATATATCTAAAATTTTAATGCCACGTAGATTATAATAAATCAAATAATTAAATATTTTATGTGAAAAAAAACCGTGCATCGTACGGACTTCCATCTAATTTCAAAATATGCAAAGTATATTTAATGAGCAGAAAAATGCTATAGGGTGTGCCTAATTCTAGGTGTACCCGGATGTATCTAGAAAATTTTAAAAACCCTGTTACAAATAATCTCTTCGCAAAATAGAGGATGCTAACTCTTCATGGAAAAAAGGATATAGAGAGATTGCTTTATATACGTAATAAAATATACATCATTGTCGCACTGATACTACTCTCTACGTCACTTTTTATTCTTCACGTTTTGACTATTATATGGTCAATATTTTAAAACTTGACACTAAAAAACATTATTTTAAATATCAAAATTATATTATGTGAAATGTTGTTAGATTTGATTTGAAATGAAGTTTTTAAATATCAA